CAACGTTGGAGGTGATCGAATGCATATTTCACCTGTATTTATAGTGGCTTGCCGACGCATTGAGTCAGTGCTGCTATCCTTCCACACAGGTCTGGTAAAAATTTGTTCGTTCCGAAGGGTGAAAGGCTTGTTGAACCCTGCGTATGTGATGGAACAAAAGGCCACGTGTACACGCGCCGGTGATGGAATATGGTCAACTAATTATATTTCTAAGAAATGAGCACATTTATTACAGTGATAGGACGCGCTCTACGACGCACACCTGTAGATTGGTTCGAGCCTGCGTCTGGAGCTTGACAATCACTACCTACTCCCACCATAGAGACAGGAAGACTCAACTGCTTAGCAAATTGCACCAGACTTGTATGAGAGGGAAAAGGTAGTGACTTGCTGTACAGGTAACCTCTCGCCGGTCATGTATAGGTTAGACATGCATTTAGTCATCCCTGCGTTGCTACGATTTTAGTCGTTCTCATCTAAGAGCTCAGGTATGCCGAAATCCATATACTTATTCAATCCAAAGACATAAAAAAGCGGTAACTTCGTGGAAATAAGTTATGTTTAGAAACCATTAGGGTTTCCTATCATTATATACCTGTATTGCACTTGTTTTTCATCAAAGTCAGATTTTTCTGATAAGTCAACGAAATCGAAATGACGAAAAAACTCCATGAAATCCTAATACTATCATCCAATGTATAGGAAGTTTCAGTGCGATTAAAGGATCATCATTGTCATTGTCATCGTCGTCGCCAGTCGGGCTCAATTCAGATCCGAGGTCAATCCGCACTCAGATCGAATAGCCACTATACCGTAATGTCACTACCGTCACAACTGCCAACTCCGTTCACTCGAGTAAGTAATGTTATTTACAGGTTTTCGCAAGGGAACAATAGTAAGTGTTTTTCCCCTTAAACTTAGAGATGTGTTTTAAACAGTATTGCTATTTCGCAGAGACATTCGGAACATCATAACTAACTGAAAAATAGCACTCAAAATTCGTAGTAATTCCTTCTATTTCAAAGGAATTATGACGCTCTGACATAAGCAAATATACTACATTGTTAATTTTCCATTTGAATAGGCCTCGTTAAGCTTTCATTACAATCATCGGAAATCTAAAACTTAACCAGAAGCTTGATTTCTTCTTTCTCGGGGAAACTCTTTTTATACTGTGATCATTGATTTCTTATAACATGTGAATAGAATAGATAATAAGATAGTTTTCTAAAAAGATCCGTGGTCCATAGAAACCACAATGGACCACTTTCACGCTTCTTACAAACACACCTCGCCAAATGTGTTTAAGTTTTTTTTTTTATTTTTCTTACTTCTATTGTCTCTTCTATGGAAAATGCCCCATGATCACTTACGGGCTTTTGATTTTCTAAGGTTTTTCTTCCCATAATCACTCTAATTTGTCTTAAAGTGCCTTTCTTCTATCGACGAAATTTTACAGATTTCAAAACGTGCGGCGCAGGTGTCAGATGTGCGATTTGCTTCAACAGCTACAGATCATCGAAACGAATTCCCTCTTCCTTTTTCATCTAATGAATTCGATCCGACATTACTAAGAGAGCAAATGACTCGAGAAGCTATCCACAGACATCAAATAGGAATTAATGAGAAAGTGTTAAATAAATATTATAAACTAATACTGACAAAAAGAAAAGGCGTTCAACTTTTACCTGTTATGCCTTCGCTACAAGTTTGATTGAATTCGTGGCTTTTTGAGTTCATTTAGTACGTAATTAGTCTGTGACTACTGGCGTCGCACTGATGTTTTAAGCTAGTGTTTTATCTTCCTTGACAAGTTCCGTGCTAACTTGTCAATTATAAAGGGAGGAAGCGCTTTATTTGCTCGGGCATCGCAAAAGATGAGTACATGTCTATTTCAAGGTTCTAACAATTGCGCTAGACGTAACTCTCTATAGATATGACCGATAAAGTTTCACGCAACGCCAGAATCAGCCCGGACTTCTATTTGAATTAGACAAGTGCTACATAAAAATCAGTTTACTAAAGAACAATCATTTTTAGTTTTTAATCTCGTTTTTTTCATATTTTCCTATTTCAGAGATTCAGTGGACTATTCTCTTATATGCGGAGGAAATCGTTATAGGAGGGATAATAATGGAAAGATTATCTCGTTCAGTATAGGTGAACTCACTTTTTTCTATCCGTTTTTTTTCATGCTTTGATGCAGTCATTCTACCTTCTTTTATATTATCTATCATATCATCCTATATTACACTAAGGGCGCATGTGGGGCTGAGGTCGGAGGCGCTCTGCAACACATAAGTGGAATCGATCCACGCGCCCATGGACCACCAAGCCTTCCATGCATTAAGTAACCACCAAACGATGCTTAATTAAATCGAATACATGGTGAATCCCTCGGAGATTGATCGACGCCAAGAGCTTTATCTTTTGATCCTTTTATCATATCCTCCGAAGGATTAATCATGCCTGGGCATGGAAAAGGGAAGGGAAAACCCCTAAAAAAATTATTCAGGCTTAATCACGTTTCTATACGATAATTTGAGTACCAAGAGCGTAAACTGAAAAGACGATTTTTTCTATCTATTTTTTTCAAATACAGTAGAACAACAGAATTCTTGTGTAACATAGGAAATGATGTGAAAATAGAATAGATCGAGTTTCTGAGGTGATTAATACTTATCGTGGGTATAGGATCAGCGTAAACTGTTCGTACTGTCTGAAACTTAACTAAGAGCAGTTAATCCTCTTCTGAAAACTTACATTCTTTAAATTAATATCTTGGGATATCAATTAGCTTAGATGAGATGGTTAAGAAAAAACCTGTTATAAAACTATTTTATATATCCATTCAAAATACGATAATCAAAGTGACAATAAAAAACAATTTAGACGCACAGTAGTGATTTGTAACGGAAATAAATAGCGAACATTGTAAAACAGTCGGCGAACAGTAGATTTCTTACAGACATTCCGTCGTCAGTGACCAGAAACGTTTACGGTATTCGTTTGTCCGAACCCATGGAAACGGAACCGATCGGATTCGTTTTTCTTTTCATCTCTTTCGCTATCACAATCGTTTTTATCACGACAACGTACGTCTATATTGAAGGATTCATCTCATCAAATTAAACTACTGCCGTTTTCTTGTTTATTTTACTTATTTTTAAATCACTTTTGTTAATAGTTATGTTGTTCCTACAAAGGCACATGCAACGATCTGTTCGATTTCATCATTAACATGTCATCTTTTCATCTAATTTTGTTAGAATCACCCAACTTACTACTTTCGTTATCAGTGTTATGCTTATACTGCGAGGTTCTTTTCTTTCTAAATCGTGATTTTTAGCCTACTTTTTTTTCCTCCGGAAACGAATTCTACAGCTCAGGTTTTCTTCGCTGCGATATTCGAACACAAACCATCTACTGATTGAAGCGAAATGATTTTATTGAGAACATAGCAAATCCTCTAAGACCATTTAATAATATGTTTTATTACAGAATTTTGTTCGTTTTCAGTTTCTATTTTCTAGCGGCTGGGTACTATCTGAAATATAACCACAAAGTTGCTGAGATATTTGCAAAACTCCGGACCGCTGGTGCCTGCGGTGGAGAGCGAACACGTTATTAGCCTTCCCTAGAGCTAACGCGTTCACCACCACACCATACGAGTCGTTCGTTTCGCCTCCCTCTCAACGCTTTTGTGTTTTTCTTGGTTTTGTTTTTGCTTCCCGCTTTTTCTTTACCTTAGAAAGTTCTTATGGTTTTCTGTAGGGTGCAATGAAACATTTCAAAACTGTTATTATTAATCATAAAAGTTTTACTTTGTGACCTACACCTGAAAACGATTGCATTGCTGTGAATCTACTTTGCTTTAATGTATTTTAATGTGCACTAATCCGACCTCTTAAAAGCTTTGTGCTGTTCTAGCGAAGTGGTTAGAGCTTTCACACGACACAACACATTCTGGTGTTGCTTCAAGTTCTCCACGTCGAACAAAGCAAGCCGCTGCTACGTCGGAAACTTTGTATTAGGCTTTTCTTTTTTTCTCTGGGAGAAGGAAAGCATCATATGTCGATGGCCCATTGCAATTGATTTTACAGACCAGATATGTATTCAGCCACCATCTATCGTTCTACTACTATGAATAGATTCCACCCATCCGACCAGGACTGACCCATGCCTTTCGCTTTGTTCTTTGTTTTATTAAAATGTTAGCAGTTAAAGTATGGAAAAGAGACCTTTTGATTACGCATTTACTTCACATTCAGAACAGCAGAATCGCATCGCCTACTAAGTGAAGCCAATGTTTTGCAAGTGTAGCTGCATTTTTAGTGTTATGAAAAAAATGGTGAGAAAACAATTGAAAACGTAACAGAATGACGATAAAAATACAAGTAATTATGACAAAAGAACAGAACTACAATGAGTAATAGCAAGGAAATAGTGAGAACAAAATGAAACGATTGTGATGGTAGTGTACTATATTCATAAAATTTGCACAAAATGAAGTGTATTCTTTATAAAAATCCGTTTTTTAGGTAGGTCGGAGAAAATACTTCGAGCAGTGAATCTTTTAACACTTTCAAAATTCTTTTTCTATACAACTAGAAAAGCCATAGCACGGATGAGATAGCTGTCGAAGAAGTCCAAGAAGAATAACTCTCGATATCCATTCAACATATCCATGAAAAAGAAAAACCACAAATCCTGAAGCCACAACTAAATCTATAAACGAACCCGACCATCCTCATAGATGATAGATGGAAGACAGTGTTATGAATGAAGGAATTGCTAGGTCCTACAATAAACCAGAAGAAGAAATATCTAAGAAACGATGCACCAAACTAGGCTCTACTAACTTATGAACTTTATCGTGAATATTTTTTCGTAGACGAGAAATTTTCCTCTACTTTGGTGAATTATTGAAATGTCAATTCCTACAGATTTTTGTACCAGATTTTCCGTAACGAATGCACCTTAGTGTGAGTGGCATGCTCTTAGTGAATAATGGATTGTCCTGCAGGTTGAAGCTCATTGCTCTCTCCTTCGTCACTGCGGGAACCGATTTGAACGACTTCACGACTGGCTTCTTCACGCGTATGAGAACCACCAAGAATATGTGGTGATAGTACCTAGAATATTTCGTAAAAGGTAATAAAAATTTTCAGAAAAAATCCTGCATACCTCAACAAGAAGTTTCTCTTCACTCGCTACACGAGGTGACAATATGTTAGGGCTCAAGATGATAATGCCGGCTGCCTCGGGCGAAACTATACGTGGTGAAAGGAAATCTAAATTCAACTTTGCCAGATAGCTTAATTATTTACTTTTATCAAATCTAGCAGTAAACAACAGAGAACAGTCGAATCTTCGACTCTATAGTGAAATATTAAGAATGGACAAGTTCTTTCCAGCTGAGTATTACATAGGAAGTAATTATCCATTTGAGACACCACTAATAAAATATGTTAGATGATAATATGATCGTAAAATTTCCGAATAAACCTGGGCTTAAGACGTCGATGATGAGAGCTTCTGGAGACAACACTCGTGGATCTATGAACTGAGGGGACAACACCTCCGCGATCTAAATTGGCTCTACTTTATGCTCGGTTTCCAATAAGGCATTAATTTACTTCCACAACAGAATCTGTACTATGTTCAACTATGCCAATTAAGAAAGATATTGCTACAGTAGAAAATGTTTACAAAAGCTTCTGGACTGAGAATCCATGTATGAAGTGCTCTTGGCGAAAGAACTTCAGCTCGTAGAGCAGTCGGAGAAATAATACGAGCAACAAGAGCCGACGGCGATAGAATAGCCGCAATAAATGCACGGGGTGAAAGAGTTTCCAACTGGAACCACATTCATTTTAACAGTTTGGTGTTCGCGTAACATTTTACTAATTTTGAGTTTTCGGATTTCGACAAAATTTGTGCTTTTCAGTGAAATTAACAAGGTATACTTACAACAAGTGCTTGCGGCCTTATAATTTCCGGAATGAAGGCGTGTGGTGACAATGTGACAGCTTCCAGCGCAGCACCTTTTGCTACCATAGGTGTGAAGGCGAAGGGGTGAAGAGTTTCGTAAAGTACACCGTTTATTCTGGCTTCTTCGTGTTCACCATTACCATTGTGTTTAGGGGGAGATGACGTTGAACTGCTTGCTTGACGTTTCCTTATTGATCGAGCTGGAAAGTGTTAAAAAAACCAAGGTACTGCAAAGCAAAGAAAGGATAGGGTCTTTTTAGTAAAACGACGAAGGAGAAAACTCCCGGAGTTCATCAATTCCTGAGAGAGGCGTCCTGCATTCGACTTCAGCAAACATCGTTAAAAGTGGTTCAGCGCATATCTAACCTATAAAAGGACGCCGTGACCTGCTGATGTATCGAGTCATTGTTGCAATCGTCACCGTCAGGTCTGGTACCAATCTTACAATCCCGGAGGTATGGAAAGATTGCTGAGCCTTGGGCGCGAGATCTAAGAGATGCGAGAAAAAACTAGCCTATGCGTAATGCAGGCCACCTCTAAACACTACGCTAATGTGCGTTTTCAGTACCACCTCACCATTGAGAGACTACTTTTTACCATTTTATTTTATTTTATCTTATGTAATCTGTCTTCACGTATACTGTGCGGATTCCAACACTTCTCACATCCAATTCGTTTCCTCGCGCCCATCGTCCACGAAGGTCTACCAAGTTCCAAGTGTGGTTTTGGTTGCTGCTTGAGAATTTTCATTTCAACTTGAATATCGTAGAATTCTAGTCGAGCAATTCTTCCTCGATTCCCGAGATAGCCGGGCTGCAGGGTTCCCAATTGGATTGCACAGAGTAATTTTTTCCCAGAGAAGTCCGGCACCAATTTCCCGACTCCGGAGGAATGAGAGACTTGGTTGGCCAGGAGCAGAATCGAACTAACACCATGTTCCTAATGACGGACATCACTACCACTGTGCTAATCGTGCTCTGCTTTTTACCATTACCTTACGCTAACTACTATCTACATGTTTTGCCATCTTACGAATAGACCACTTACAAGAATTGCCACCAGTTCGTGTATCTATGCTAACGGTTAAGATCTAGCGTATTTTACAACTCGAAATGGAGGAGCATCTCATTTCAGGGTGAAGCGGTGGTACATAAAGAGAGAAAAGCCAGCGGAACTATACGGCTGTTCTGAAAAAATGAAGACCAATGTAATATTGACTATAGCAGCTTAATCTCCTTGCTGTTTATACTGTTACGAGCTCCCAATCTACCGAATCGTTAATCCTCTACACGACTGACAGAAAATTTGTAAAAAGAAACGGGTAATTCTAGAAGGTTCTTTACTACATGCCCACGAGTTGCCATTTCTTTGCTTACAGTAAGTTCAAGAGTATCCCATATTTATTGGAACAGTGGCGGTCTTGCAGGTTCATGACAATCATGAAATCCTTGCTCACTGATCTAAGATTCTGCGTAAATTTTGTAGTACTTTTCTTTTTCGTCTGCATAGAGAACGTTTTTGAAGATAAGGCAGTGTTCATCATGAATGAAAGTTTGCAAAAATTCCGCCTCACTGTGGAGAATCACATCGAAAGATGGAACACGATGGAGAAGCCACCTCCGTTTCACTGTTGACTTTCACGGCACAGAGGAGCAGCTAGATAGAGAAAGTTACGGCCGATTTTGGCAAGGTACATAGGGTCTCCCAATATGGCCTATACTTAGAAGGTTCGAAATAAATTTCAAAGCCGTATTCATGAGAGAAGGATTTGTTCCTCGACCAATATTCAGAGAGAATGAAGCAAGGCGATACTGTGTTAAGTGTTTTCGAAATGTAAATATGGTACATCACTAACTGGAAGAAACAGTTCAGCGCTTCGTCCTGCTTTTATAGAGAAAGAAGTTCAGCAGGAAAACAGAATGTTTCTTATGGAATGGCTTGCAACTTCGCGGATCATCCACTGATTAAAAAAGGAGTAGTTAATAAAAGCAATGCATTTTTGTTTAAATAGTCATGGTCCCTCATAAAATTTTGTCTTCTGCAACCACTGTTTTGGTAATGATCATTATACTGAAATATGATAGTACTAATATAGTAGCAGGAATTGCTACCAGACTTGCCTGGGAAAAAATCACACTCTGCATTCTAGTTGGGAACGCTCCAGCCCGGCTATCTCAGGACTCCAGGGAGAATTGCTCGAGCAGCATTCTACGACATTCAAGATGAAATGAAAATTTTCAAGCAGCAACCAAAGCCACACTTAAAAGCTGGAAGATCTTCGTGGACAGTGGGTGCGAGGAAAAGAATCGATTGCGAGAAGTGCTGGGATCCGCACAGTAGAAGTGAAGACGGACCGTATAGAATAAAAAAATATAGTAATAGGTAGACTTTATCTACTATTATAAAAAGATCGGTCCAATTCTTTTCCACGTTAAGCTTATTGCATATGAGTTATAAACTTGGTGAACATTATTCTTCTTCTTGAAGAAACGACTTTCTCTTGGGAGACGAAAATCCATAGACGGTATTGGTTGACCAACAACCCACAGGTTTCAGTAGCACAGCACCAGTTTGCATAAAAGGTTTTTCTGCTGGAAGAGGCTCACCAAATGTCACCAAGAGCAATAGATCCAAAGCTGTGTGCTACAACTTTTCAAAAGCGACTTTCAGTAATACTTGGTAAAAAATATCTAATATGTTCTTCAATTGTTAAGATCACTTTTCTTAAAGTCGTGTTAGCTTAATAATCGAAGAGGCTATAACATTGTTGACAAGCAGATGATCGTAATAACACTTCATAGCAGAGAAACACCAAGAAAGGTGACATAAACTATTGAAATCAAAAACAATGGCCAATAAATTTAACAATTCTACGACCGTGCACGAATTTTCTACGGGTTCTCACAGCTCCCTTAATAGAAGAATGTCTCCTAACTATCCTGAAAGTTAGTCACAGTGCGATCTAGATCCAAGACATTATTACGACCCATCCTGGTGAGTCTTCGGTGCAGATTTAAAAGGTATCGCTATTACTGATTTGCCTGTGTAACATGATTCCATGGAAGCATGAGATTTACAGGATAAGGTATTAACGTCTTCTACACGAGCGCGCTGTACGTGTGACGATTTTTGCTCCCACTCTTCGGATTCTATTGCAGTCAGTTCATGATCAAGATAATAAGTGTAGGGTAGTTAGAGAAACGCTACTGTTCACATTTAGTCAATGGTTCGACTCTGCTTGTTGGAGTAACTAATCCCTCCATCTCACCTGATCCAGTAAATTGCTACCGACCTTGTTCGGAAGATTGAAAACCTGACATAATACATCAATAAGCCACCGAAGGCATTACACAGGCCAAATATAGACTTATTAGTCTTTCCGACGCCACTAATGGGATTAAATGAACACTGTATCCATCAGCTTTTGATCAACTCGGAACAATTTACTCTTCACATCTTAATAAGCGACCTGCCACTACAAAGAATATGCAATGGCATTCGCTGTATCATTGAAGGAAAAATATCTAACAACGTTGACAAACATTTCGGTCGTTATTGGCAGTGGAAAATCTGTAATAGACGATTACCGTTCTCCCACATTGGCCATACTGGTCGGCCCAATGCTGCCAAGTGTCGAATATCGCTCTCTAATCGTTTCATTTTTTCTTCCTTCGACATCATTCCTAATTTGGTAGTGTTAATACCAGACAGCAACTGGTCTAAAAACTGATGAAGTTGCATTATTACTTCAGAAAATGCATGAGGAAAATGTTTTTACAAGGTTAATAATTGTGAAACAGAAAGGAGGTTTGCAATATGAACTCGATTATTTCCGTGTTAAATGCTCGAACCTTGTTTTGTATAGATGAGATTCAGCTGATCTTCGTTCAGGAAAGCATAACCTTTCTGATTATAGTTTGCAGTTTGTTCTTCGGTGAATGAGTTGCGCATTCTGTATCATATTCGTTAAATTACTAGCTTATCCGATAAAGACAAACAAGAGATCGAAATAAAAAAATCAAATTTCTTAGTAAGTGCTTGAAATACGAAACAAAGAAGTCTACAATTACAAGAGTAGTTCTAGCGATAGAGAAGAGTTCGGCCAATATCTGGATCATCATTGGATCATCAGTACTCAGTGAAAATATGGAACATCGCCGACACATTCCAAACTGTCACTTATAAAGTGTGTGTGGGTGTGTGGGGGAGGTTGAAGCGGGGGTTCATTTCTCATTTCTATATATGTGATACGTGAATGACAACATACTGAATCCATTTCTCATCTTTCCTGAAGAGTTCTTCGATAAGTGGAAGTTTTACATATCTCATATCAATCATCTCCGGCTTCATCTTAGCGATGAGGTTCTGAAAGTTTTGTTTAAAAGTACGATGTGATGGACAGTCGGTTGGTTCATTCTGTAGTGCTGAGACTTCTGTGGAAAATTACGATCAACCTTAACAACGTGCAGTACTGCTCATTTATCGTTAGTCGTTATGGAGACATCAGCAGAGGGTGATAGTGAATCATTTACATCCTACTGAATCAGCAAAAGCAGGCAAAACTGCTATCTTATCCGTATTATAAATTTTTATCTATTCAAAGTCTTAAGGTGTGGTGAGCGCCCTGGTTAGAAGCTCACCGCAGCATACATGTTGTTCTTAGTTCAATCCCAACCCGTTCAAAACAAGTCTTCTACGCTTCTGGAGTCGACAAATTGAGTCCGGGCATATCTGACTGCACAAATCGTTCGCTTAATGCATTAGTACATTAGGTTCCCGCAAGTTGTTGTGAAGACCAAGTATGAATTCAACCACAAGTGCGGTACTTAAAAAAAGATAAAGCTCTCGGCATTGATCAATCCTTAAAGGATGCGCCATCCATTTGACTTTATTAAGCATTGTTTGAAGGTGATTGAATGCATATCTGGCCTTTACAATAACTCGCGATGACCTACCGATGTATCGAGCCAGTGCTGCTATTTTTTCAGACAAGTTTGATAACAATTTGCCGACCGAGATAGAAGGCTTGGTGGGTCACAGGCACCGAGATCGATTCCACGTGTGTGTTGCAGTGCGCCTCCGACCACTGCCCCATACGCTCACAGTGCAGCACTTAATGGTATCGAATTCATAGTGCATTCCTAAGAAATGACAAGCGCCAAACGTTTCATCCCTATGATTATCAAAGTCTAATCCATGATATGTCAATCTGTTGAAAAAACAATTTGCCATGATTTTATTCCATTTTTAAATACAGCCGTGTAAACCGGCGTTCACTTATCAATAAATCCTATTGGAAGCTGGTGCAAACCTTCAGGACTACGCTTGCTCCACTGACATCCAAAACAATATCCAGTAGAAACTGTTGCTGCTTTTGATCACTACTTATAATCTAAACAAGTATGCATGACAATTCAGATATATTCCAAAAAAAAATTGACTTTTAATTGAATAGATGCTTGTGAAGAAAGTAACTGCATTCGAAACATTGACTCTACTGATTCTCGATTTTATACGCAGGATGTAGAGAACGATGTTAATGAATTGCCGAAGTTTTGTTGATGCTCAAAGAGGGCAAAAATTCGGTCAGTGTCGTAAAACGATGCTCACATCAAACAATTCTGGAAGCGATAGATAACCATTTTTTTGAAAGCTGAAGAATGTTGGAGACAGAAGACGATTGCCAGATGAAGACTCCGGAAATAACGACAGCAAACGAGGTGACAGGATCGAAACTTTTGTCGGTTTGGAGCTTTCCGCCTGAATTAAACCCATAAAAAAATTATTTGTTCGTTTTATTTTTATAGTTACCTGACATTAACACTTAGACTTACGCGGTACGTGACGCCTTTAGAAGTCATGCGACACGAAAATAACGGTCGTTTTCAATTTCAGACGTAAATATATCGGCCCTTCATCATTAAACTATCCCAATTATAATAAAACATTTAAAATCTAAAAATTTATGGCTGTAAGATAACCTATAAAACTGCAAAGTATCAAAAAACCTAATTTGGGCACTTTCCCTAGTCTTTGCTAATAACTCGAAGGTGAAGGCAACTGAACAATCAGTACTTGGACCAGAAAGACGTGATAATGTTCCCCAACAAGTCGCTGGATTCTGTATAATAGCTATTGCGCTGGCATGGAAAATTTACCAATTTCTGTTTCGTTCCCAATTTCTTGGGATTTCCAATTGCAAACAATCTTACGGTTGAAAAAAATGCTGTGAAAATTGTGTATACTCTGAAGGCCTTAGACTAAGGCGTTCTCTAGGGTATGGAAGGCTTCAAAATCTACCATTCCTGTATTTCTGAGAAAATTTAACGCATATATATATATTTATATATATATGTACCCATAAAGGACGAAAGAATAAAGCTCTCGGCGTTGATCAATCCCAGAAAGACACGCCATGCATTCGACTTCGTTAAGCACGTTTTGGAGGCGATCGAAAGCATATCTGGATTACCTGGCACCAATTTGCCGACGCCGGTGAGATGCAAGCCTTGGTAGTCCATGGGAGCAGGCATCAATTCCACACGTGTGTTACAGGGCGCCTCCGACTACTGCGCCGCACACGCTCTTATATGCATGTGCACATATATATGTATCACCTGTATGACCTGTAGTTCCGTTGATCGTCGAGCGGCTCGAGCGGGCGCCAGTAAATCTTCTATTTATCCTCGTCACGTGCAAGAGTAGCCCAGTAGATTCTGCTCGCCCTAAGGACTCGGCGAGCATCATATCTTTCTTCTAGGCTTTTCGTGAAGAACTTTGATCATCGGGTTGGTGGTCTTCCTGCAGTACGTTTGACATCGCGAGGAATCCAGTCACTAACGGCTCTTGTCCATCTGTTGTCATTCATACGTATTATGTGTGCGGCCCACCTTATCTTCGACTGCTTGGCGTACAGAACAGCATCTTTGATTTGCAATCGTTGACGTAGATCGGAGCTTCGGATCCCACCCCTTATTTAATGTGGAACGGGATTAGTATGGTTCTTTCGACTGCGCGTTCGATAACGCTGAGTGAAGTTCCATCCTGATTGCGCAGCGACCAGGTTTCTGACGCATGCGTTAGGGCAGGAAGTACCGTTGAATTGAAAAGGTGGACGCGAAGTCGGATGTTCTTTGTTCTCTTCACTACATCCCTGATGCTCATAAAAGCTCCCCAAGCCGCTCGTTTGCCTTTGCTGAGCTCTGGAGCTAAGTCGATCATCATCTTGATTTTCCGACCTAGTTAGACATAACTGGAATATTCGGAGATATTCGTTCTCCTGAGCGTGAATGGGGCGTGCGAAGCCATTCAGTTCTTCATGAACATCGTTTTTGTGAGATTTAGTCGAAGACTAATCTTTCCACAGGCTTTATCAAAGTCGCCAAGCATACGCTCCGCTTGGCTAATATTTGGTTTTATAAGGGTGATGTCATCAACATAGCGAAGATGGTATAACTGCTGACCATCGATTTTCACTCCTATGTTATACCATTCCAATGTTCGAATGACGTTCTGGAGGGTGTCGATAAACAATTTTGACGAGATGGTATTACCTTGCCTAATTGCTCTTTTGACGTCAATGTTAATATCTTTGTAGAATGGTGATATCTCGGTTGTCGAATTTTTGTACAGCTGACGAAGAATCTTTATGTACTGAGTGGAGTCTTCTTGACTGTCAAGGCTTCCAAGACTGCTTCTATCTCAACTGAATGGAAGGCCTTCTGTAAATCGATGAAAGTGAGACAGAGCGGTCCTTTGCACTCTCGCGATACTTCAATGAGTCTTGTTATCGTGCAGATGAGGTACATCGTACTAAATCCTCTTCGAAACCCTGCTTGCTCACATGGCCATCCTTTGTATAGTGTTCTGTCAATCCTGTTTAGGATGACTCGAGTGAAAAGTTTGTAGACGAGAGACAGTAAGCAGATTGGGCGATAGTTACCGATATCGTGTAGGTCACCCTTCTTGAACAATAACACGGTCCTGCTGGTCTTTCACTGAGTAGGCACCTTGCATTCAGACAGGTAACGTGTGAAGAGCAGAGCCAGTGTGTTTACGAGGGCTGGCAGAAGGTTCTTCAGGTGTTCTGGTCATATTCTGTCCGGATCTGGTGGTGCTGTTCGAATTTTCACCGACGAAATGGCATGTCGGGTTTCGGAAGGAGAAACCGGTGGTAAGGTGGACGTGGCTATTGGAGGTCCGAGTAGTATTCGTGAACGATTTTCTCCATTGCTTTTATGTACGCTGTAACTGTTCCTTCTGGGCACTGGGGAGCAATCATTTGGTCTCGTAATTTGCGAAGCTTCGGTGGGCTTTGCGAATGCTTTTCCCAGCCTCTGCAACTTCGACCATTACTGCTGCTCTTTTCTCTTTAAGATCTTCTTTTATCGCCTGTCTGTATTGTTTTGCATATTCGCACGTTAGTTCGCGGCTGCCTTCAGCTCATGCGATTCCACGCTAGTGTATCAGCTCGAGTGTTTCTGGAGACAATCGTCTCTTGGTGACTTTCGAACTCTCAGCTTTCATAGCGCAAACGTAAAGATGTTGAATGAGCCGATCGTATTTTTCGTCAATGTTATCGACAACGGCATCTTCTCCACGGTCGACTATTAAATTGACTAAGTCCCAAAAACAACGAAGATCTGTACCAGCCTCGCGTCAGCTTAAGAAGTTCAGTTTATAAGGTCGCATAAATAAATATATCAACTATCTATGCCGAGGTTTATAGAAAGTCGGTCTTTCGAGTGAATAAGTCCCAGTTTGCTGTGATTCTGGGACTTCGGTTCTGGAATTTAGCGGCTTTTTCTCCTTTCCGCGAGAAATAGAATTTTGCACGGAGGAGACGATGGTCTGATTCCTTTATTTAGCATTTATCCAGGAAGCCTCAAGAAGTTTCCCCGCTGGTTTTTTTAGCAACCTGTGCTAAGATAGCGATTTTTATATCAAAACTGTTTTTGCCATGCTTTTGTATCCTACATCCTTTTGTATATCCTTTCGTGCATGTGGCGCAGTGGTTGGAGGCGTCACTGCGGCACGCACGTGGGATCGGTCTCCACTCCGGTGGCTCACTAAGCCTTCTATTCCTCCGGGGTCTGCAAATTGGTACCAGACTTGTGTGGGCGGAAAGCAGCACTGGCTCGATACGTCGGCAGGCCCCTGCGAGTTATTGTAACGGCGAGACATGCGTTCAATCACCTCCAAACGATACTAAATGAGGTCGAATGCATGGCGCATCCCTCAGATGTTGATCAGCACCGAGAGCTTTATTCTTTATCTTTTATCCTTTTGTATATCTACGTACGATATACCCGATTTCTTGTAGTAATTGCGGAGATGAATATATTGGCAGAATGGACAAAGCGCTACGTATCCGTGTAAAAGCGCACCTAGATGGTAAACAAAATGTAAGACAAGGTACGCCACTAGAAACGCATAGGATGTAAAACGTAGCGGTGACGACTTTGATATAAAAACCGCTATGCTTGCGCAGGATTCTAAAACACCAACGAACAAATTTTTCGAGGCTTTTGGTTAAATGCCAAGAACCAGAGAATGAATAGGGAAGAATACCCAGTGATAACTCATGATCTAGCCCTTATCTTAGAATCGATGTTTGACGTGGGATAGTGCAGTCATCAACCATATGGGACTCCAAACGGTTACTCCTACTCATTGGAAGGTAGGCAAAAAAGTTGTGTTTTGCCAGAAGCCACTGATCGTGTAATTATCGTTCAGGTTTTCATCTTTCTGTTTGTGCTGTTGAAGTGTTTGACTTAGTAAATTATGTATCAGTGTACCCCCTAAAAAGACGATACTGTCGAAAAATCGGCTACCCTTGTGTTATGTATGTTCTATTTGCACGGAAGGAAATGTGTAGTGAATAACAACTTCAAGACTGCTGGAAAAGAAAACGACACATATATGAGCCAATTCAGAGGTTAATCGAATGTTTGCCTTGGGAACTGTATATATATATATATATATAT